TTCCACACCTGCTATATAGCTACCCTCCTGGAAATTCCCTTCTCTTCTTCACTGTGTTGGAGTGAAACTCCATGTTGGAGTTCAGTGAAATTCCTGAAATTCATGTTTTCCCCCCTGGTTCACTCATTAGTTTCAGAGGAGAAGGGATATGGGGAGGAAATCTTTTGAGATATTGCATGCCTGAATAGGACTTTATCTTCCTTTATCTTTGACTGCTAGTATGAATAGGTATAGAATTCTAGGTTGGAAATAATCTTTTCTCAGAATTTTGATAGTTTTGTCCTACTATCTCCCTGGTTCAGAGTTGCTGTTGAACATCAGATTCCATTCTAGTTCTTTTTAAATTTTATTTTTTATTGAAGTGTAGTTGATTTATAAGACTAGTTTCAGATGTATGACACAGTGATTCAATATTTTTAAAGATTATACGTCACTTGTTATTTTAAAATATTGGCTGTATTCCCTGTATTGTATAATATACAGCTTATAGTATATACAGTAATTTGTACCTCTTGGTTTCCTACCCCTCCCTTGACACTGTCCACTTCCCTCTCCCAGATGGAAATCACTAGTTTATTCTCTAAATCTGTGAATCTGTTTCTGTTTTGTCATATTCATTTGTTTTATTTTTTTAGATTCCACATTTAAGTGATAACATATAGTATTTGTATTTCTCTAATTTATTTCACTAAGTATAATGCCCTCCAGGTCCAACCATGTTGTTGCAAAATAGCAAAATTTCATTCTTTTTTATGGTTAATATTCCATTGTATAAATATATGACATCTTCTTTATCTATTCATCCACTTATGGACACTTAGGTAGCTTCCATATCTTGGCTATAGTAAATAAAGCTGCCTGAACACTGGGGGGACATATACCTTTTTGGATTAGTATTTTCATTTTCTTTGGCTGTATACCCAGCAGTGGCATTCATTCAAACAGCAGTTCCATTTTCAGTTTTTTAAGGAACCTCCATACTATTTTCCATAGTGGCTGCATCAATTTACATTCCCACCAACAGTGCACTTGGGTTCCATTTTTTTTCATGTCCTTGCCAACATTTGTGGTCCTTTTAACAATAGCCATTCTGACTGGTGTGAGGTGATACTTCATGGTTTCAATATGCATTTCTCTGAGGATTAGCAATGTTGAGCATCTTTTCATGCATTTGTTGGCCATCTGTATGCTTTCTTTGGAAGAATATCTATTCTTCCCATTGTTAAATTGGGTTCTCTTTTTTTTTTATACGAGTTGTATGACTTTATTAATAAATAGTTTGGATATTAACCCCTTATTGGTCTTATCAATTACAAGCATTTTCCCCATTCAGTAGTCTGTCTTTTCATTTTGTTGATGGTTTCCTTTGCTGTGCAAAAGATTTTAAGCTTAATTTGTTTAGTTTTGCTTTTGTTTCCTTTGCCTGAGGCAATAGATCCAAAAAGATACTACTACAACTTATGTCAAAGAGTGTCCTGCTTGTTTTCTTCTGGGAGTTTTATGGCTTCTGGACTAATATTTAGGTCTGTAATCCACTTCGAGTTTATTTTGGTATATAGTATGAGAAAATGTTCTAATTTCATTCTTTTACACGTAGGTGTCCATTTCCTGGCAACATTTATTAAAAAGGCTTTCTTTCCCCTCACCGTATATTTTTGCCTCCTTCATTGTAAGTTAACTGAACATAAGTGCATGGGTTTATTTCTGGGCTTTCTATTCTGTTCCATTGATCTATGTGTCTGTTTTTATGCCACTGTAGCTTTGAAGTTTTGATTACTTCAGCTTTGTAGCACATTCTGAAGTCAGGGAGTGTGAAACCTCCAGACTCGTCCTTTTTTCCAAGATTACTCTGGCTAGTCAGGGTCTTCTGTGATTCTGTATAAATTTTAGGATTATTTTAGTGCTGTGAAAAATGTCATGGGTATTTTGCATTAAATATGTAGATTGCTTTGGATAGTATGGATATTTTTACAATATTAATTCTTTCAATCCATGAACACTGGTTATCTTTCCATTTATCTACATAATTTTCAATTTCCTTCATTAGTGTTTTATAGTTTTCAGAGTATAGATCTTGTACCAGTTCTAGTTCTTGATGTTTTGCCTGTGAGCTTTCTCTAAAGCTTCTGGGATCTTCTCTTTACTCATGTCCTCCAGCTCTGGGAAATTTTGACAATTTCCTCCCTTTTTTCTTTGTTCTCTATTTCTAGAACTCATATTAGTCAGGTGTTGGGTGTCCTAAATTTTATCTTTTTTCTCCTATTTTCCATCTCTTTATTCTATCTTCTGGAGGAGTTCAACTTTACATTTTAATCCATCAGTAGAAAACTTTCACTTTTGCAATCATATTTTTAACGACTAAGAGGTCTTTCTGTTCTCTCACTATTCTTTTTTCTTGGTTCTTATTGTATGAAAGCAACATTTTTTTGTTCTTTCTGAAGATATTGTTACAGTTGCTATTGCAGTTTTCTGCTGCTGCCTGCATTGCCCCTATTTTTCCTAATTTTTTTTTTTTGTTCATTTTGATCTTTTTCCTTCACAACAGGCTTCTTCAAATTTTTAATAATCACTGACTATAGGTTCACATTTAAGTGTGAGGAACCAAAGAGTGAATTAGAGGTTCTATACAAGGTGACTGCTGACTGGCGAGTTTCACCATCTGCTTCAGAGTCAGGGCATCAGGTCATTTCATTGGGGGATCCCCCTGTGGTACTATCTGCGGGTCTTTGCTTTGGGTTATACAGTTTCTCCAAAGAAGAATCCGATAATCTCATGCCTAAGAAATATCAACCTGGCTGTCAACATCCTGGAGGCTGAGCTGTGGAGTGTGGGTTGGTAGCAGGCAGAATGAAAGTGAAGTGTCAGTCACTCAGTCGTGTCTGACTCTTTGTGATACCATGGACTGCAGCCTGCCAGGCTCCTCCATCCATGGAATTCTCCAGGCAAGAATATACTGGAGAGGGTAGTCATTCCCTTCTCCAGGGGATCTTTCCAACCCAGGGATCAAACCCAGGTCTCCTGCATTGCAGGCAGATTCTTAAACTTCTACTTGCTCCCCCTTCTTTCAGGGTAGAGCTTTGTCCCAGCCTTGGCTGTGCCAGATACCCTACATCCAGGCCCTCTCTGATGACTTCTCCAGAGAGCAAAGCTCCCAACTTATATCTGCTGGTATGAAGGAGGGGCCATGGGGCCTAACTGCTCTTTAGCAAGAACTTTAACTAACCTTTGCAAGCACGTTTTAAACTTGAATTCCTGAATCTTTCTAGATTTTCATGGCTCAAATCAGCCTCCTCTCCCACCAAATGCACAGAGATAGGCTTTTTGAGGCTTCTCTAATCTGCTCACCGCTCATTCATCCTGTCTTCAGTTTTCAAAATTTAACTGATGTTTCTTCATTCATTCATTCGTGCTCAGTCATGTCCTATTCTTTGCCATCCCGTGGGCTCCCCTGTTCGTAGGATTATCCCGGCAAGAACACTGGACTGGAATGCCATGATGTTTCTAAGCTGCGATCATTGCCTGTTTCCTGCTGCCCTTCTGTGTTTATGCTTTCTTCATTTTCTCATGATTTTGGGGGAGGGGAGTTAGAGTGGGGGAAGACATTAGGAGATATGTATATACACTTCACGGGAGGTTAAATAAAAAGCCCTCACTGAAAATGTTTTGATTTTGTGTGACTAAAATAGAACAAAATCACTGCTATCAGAGAGATGTGACCTGCTGCTGGCCAATTTGGTTAGAATAATCTCTGCTCCTGTACTCAGGAGCAAGCAGCACATATTACCTCCTCCGAAGGCACAAAAACTCTCAGGGGCAAGGCCTATAGCCTTTCGTGTGTCTGACGGGGTCTCTAAAGAAGGAGGCTCCCAACAGCACCTCTGCAATAAGACCCATAGCACTCCTTGTCGTTGGAAGGTAATTGTTCTACAGCATGAATCATCCCTAGATGACTTTCTTAGCCCCATGAACCCTCATGTTTTTCTGCCCATTTAGTCTGAGGGATTAGAGGAAGACCAGCCCCATCAGAAGTAAACTTCCTGTTCTGAGTCCAACCCTGTCATTGCACTGGCCCTGTTCTTCTTGCCTGTAGTTTTATCTGCCTCATATAGAACCTCACAAACACAAAAGAGGTGAAGAGTTGAGACGTATGTGCATGTGTCCTCAATTATTTTGATGAGGTAATGGAGGATAAACACTTAAATCAGTATCATAGTGAACAGAAAAGCAAGTAATGAATTCACTAGCATTTAACTATAAGAACATGAATTATATTTTATAGTCACGTACAATTCCCTTAGGATTTAAAACTGCTTTCAAAGAAAACATTCTCCTTATTTTACATAGGATTAAATGATGCTCATAGAACTTACTGCAGTGTGTTCCAAATAGATCAGTAATTTTTTTTAAAGTTTGAGGTTAGTAAGAATGGATATTTACAGGAGAAGTCAACCCTTTCTTTTGAATATCTTTCAGTTCTAAGCAGTTTGATTACTTCCGTGTTTGGCTTCCTTTTGGATTTTCTAGCTTAAAGCAAAAGAGGATGGAAATGTGACAGATTTAAGATATAGTATTCCTTTTTACTACTAAATAAACATCCTGCCAATTTTTTTTGCCTAACTTTTAAAAATTAATTTCTATTGGAGTATAGTTCCTTTACAAGGCTGTGTTATTTTCTATTGTACAGCAAAGTGAATCAGCTATATGTACGCATTTATCCCCTCTTTTGATGGATTTTCTTCCTATTTAGATCACCACAGGGCACTGAGTAGCACCCCCTGGGCTATACAGTGGGTTCTCATTAGTTACCTATTTTATACACAGTATCAACAGTGCACATATCTCCATCTCTCAATTCATCCCACCATTCTGCCTAATTTCGAGCTTAGTCTTTTTCTCTTGCCAATCTCTTTTGAGAGGTCATGTCAAAATTCCAAAAATCTTTTGAGACACACAACATGAAGCACATAGACAAATCAACAGCAGTAACACGCTAGACCTACCTGTTAAAATAACATGTCACCACTGTCCCAGCTACAGTCATCTGTTGGCATGCAAGGATGAATTCACTAGTCCAGATGAGGCCAATTAAATGGTACCACCACATATACCGAATGCCTGAAAGAGGCTTATATTCCACTTGGCCACCCTCAATGACCTGTGCAGCTCCTAAAGTTTAAAACACAAACATGCTTTATATCTGTGTTTTCCTAAGTATGGAAGAAGGTTCAAGAGGCCATTCTTCCTCTGTTCTAGACTTTGGCATCACACGAAACACAGATGTCAACATCAAGTTTGCTTAAGATCTTCATAGCAAAACTAAAATTGAGAACCCACATTTAACTTATGAATAATATTAACAGTGATGATTATGATAACTGGTAGGCAACTTGTATAAGATGACACTTATCTTCTAATAGTCACCCCACTTTACAGATATGAAAACTGAGGTTTGGAAGAGTCAAGTGACTTTTGCAAAGTCTCACTGCTCATAATTAGTGGAGGAAGAATATATACCTGGACACAGTGGACTCTAAAACCCATGGTTTTTCTATCACAACACTTTGTGATGCAAACAAAACTTATGTTGATGAAAGTTATGTTATAGAACCCTGCCTAGGACTGTGTTATAGAATCCTGTGTTATAGAACCATGCTTCACCAAAAATTTAGACTCAATAAAGAATCTTAATTTGTTCAAAAGGATTCATTTCAGATTTCAAGAGCAAACTCTCCTACTACATTTAAAATGGCTAGTGGGTCTCAGTGTTAACCTCCTAGATTCAGGTCTTAGCGTTATCCTTTTTTGGGTAGCCTGGCACAAGCTATCTGGCCTCTTGGAGTGTTAGTATACTTATCTGTAAAACCCATTTCCCTGATGGTCATTCGAAAGAGAGTAGAATGGGTTTACCTGGTGAGTACTGGCCCACAGAAATATCAGTCCATAAGTAATGATGACTTTTATCAGTTACATTTCAGGAGCACAATATTATATTTAACTGAGGCCAGTGAGGTAACCCCAGCAATGCTCTGCCATTCACTGACCATGTCCTACTTTATTTGCTCTCATCTAAAGAAGTCCTTGAATTGGCTCTGCAATTCAACTCAATTCCATACCAAATCTCAGTTCTGCAACTATATTTGATTTCTAGATGTTCTCTGCTCTGTTTCATTTTATTATTATATTAGATCTTTTTTATGTGGACCATTAAAAAAAATCTTTATTGAATTTGTTCCAATATTGCTTCTGTTTTATGCTTTGGGTTCTTGGCTGTGAGGCATGTGGGATCTTAGCTCCCCAACCAGGGATCAAACCCATACAGCCTACATTAGAAAGCAGTCTTAAGCAATGGACCACCAAGGAAGTCCCCTGCTGTATATTTTAAATAAACCACTATAAGAAAAAAGATGGCACTTTGGTCTCTGGCAAAACCTACAACTTGAAGAACATTTAAAGACAGTTTCATACTAATATTTCCTTTCATAGCTATAAATTGCTCCTAGGTTCATAATTCATATGTCTTTAGACATTCACAATAGGGTCTGGGCAAAGGAAGTGGGAAAGATAATCATGTTGTAGAAGGAACTGATTCCACAGATGAAGGCTGGTCTTAGTAACTCCTGCTCTGTGTTCTGCTGAGCAAGAGTCACATTGTGAGAAATACTAGATCAGCTTGGTTCACAGACAGAAGTTAATATTTTATTGAACACTGGATTCATTCTGGCTTGGAGGCAATCTCTGTTTCAGGTAAGGCGCTAATAAATGCTTAAGCATTTCCAAAATGGATGTGTTTCAGAAAAGCATTCCCAGTCCCAAAGGAGGTGGCCCCTCATGACTGACAGGCACATGTATGTAGTAAATCAGGTGAGTGGAGACTTGGAGAGCCACTCCTGGAACAGCAGAAGTGATGGGGCCAGTCAACATGCACGGGATCACCAGTGACGGGGACACACTGCAGTTTGCAAGCACAGGTCTACAATATCACATGTGATTTGGGGATGGATGAAGTTTCCAAAGAAGAGGAGGGATGATTTCCTCAACAGACAAAAGGCAAGTACATACAAAGGCCTTGGGTGCTAAGGAGGGATTGTGTCTCCTTGGGGCTGCCAATGGCACGTTCACACACACCCCAGCTTGGCATGCTGATGGCAGCAGTCAGCAAGCAGAGGATGGCTAAAAGGGATACATCAAGATCCGTACAGGCCGCCACACTCCTGGCATTCCTCAAAGCAGCAGACTGAGTAAAGATATTCTTGACTGGCCACTTGCTTTTGATCATCTTTACTGAAACCATCGACTATTTATTCTTCTAGTTCAGTTATACCAGGCTATTTACAGCCTTTCCTTTAGGGCAGGGTTTTTCAACCTCTCAACATAGCATTTGGCATTTTGGATCACATAATTGTTAGGGGTGTGAAGTGGGGGAGTTGCCCTATGCATTGCAGGATATTAAGCAGCTTTCTTGGCCTCTACCCATTAGATGCCAGGAGCATCTTCCCTCCCCTCCTCCAGTTAAGACAACCCAAATGTCTCTAAACATCATCAAACTGCTGCTTTAAGCAAACATTCTCTGAAGAATCAGGAGCTCTAGCTTGAGGGAGAAGCTTAAAACACGACTGTGGGTGGGGCAGGTGTGTTTAGGCACACACGACTGCCCTCTCCTGGATGGCTAGGTTAGTGCAGGCAAGAGCCTCCCATCAAAGTATCAGTTGCTTTGTTATTAAAACTAACACATTACAATACTGTTACCACCATGTGTAGCTAACAGATGCTAACGGGAACTGATCCCAAGATGAGATTTGATCTGGATCCCAAGATGATTTTGATCTGGTGGTGAAAACAGCACTGAACTGGATGAGGGCCTGGTTCCAATCTCGGCCTTGACATTTGTGATAAGCAACCTGGGCCTCCGTTCTCTAACTGCAAACATGAAGAGGGAAGACAAGATGAACCCGGGGCAGCGGTTACACAGTCTGACAGTCACACAGACTGAGATTCATATCTCTCTTCTGTCTCCTAATGGCTGAACAACCTCAGGCAGGTTATGAGGTTGTGGGGCCTTTTAAAATCTGTTTCATTGTCAGTAATCTGAAGATACTAATACCTACTCTTCCTTTCCTTGTTGATTCCATCCAGTCTCATGGCTCTAAATGCCATACATGTAGCTGTTATGAGGATTAAACAGGCAGTTGCTTAGAATATTAAATACAAGATAAGATTAGCTATAATTGAGGTATAAGCAGATATAATTTCAGTTGAGAAGAAATATTTATTTAGCATTCTAGATTTATGCTGAACATCAGCTATTAAGGGAAAAAAATGAAAAAGGCAAACAAAAAAATCAGAAAGAAGATACAATCAGAGTGAATATCAGGAACTCACATGCTGCTACACTAGTTTATTCACCTCCCCTTCTTCTGGACTGTTTATAATCTCTCCTCCAATCTCTAACTAAGAGTTATTTTCCCATCCTTATGCTCAGTCAGTGACCTCACTTTTGGTTTCTCTGAGAAAGCTGAAGCCATGGGAGAATCTCTGCGAGCATCTACCCCATCTCTACCCCTCAGCAGCATGCGTCCATGACTAGACTGCTGCTGCTGCTGCCAAATCGCTTCAGTCGTGTCTGACTCTGTGCGACCCCATAGACAGCAGCCCACCAGGCTTCCCCTGTCCCTGGGATTCTGCAGGCAAGAACACTGGAGTGGGTTGCCATTTCTTTCTCCAATGCATGAAAGTGAAAAGTGAAAGTGCAGTCGCTCAGTCATGTCCAACTCTTACTGACCCCATGGACTGCAGCCTACCAGGCTCCTCCGTCCGTGGGATTTTCCAGGCAAGAGTACTGGAGTTGGGTGCCATTGCCTTCTCCAATAACTGGACTACCCCACCTTAATCTGATAAACTGTCCGTGATTCTAAGGTCAGCCCCTGCACTAGATTCCCTTTCTCATCTACTTGAAGATACCACTTCAGAAAATTTCCCTCTCTTTCTTGCTTCCTTAAAATATTCTGACTGAATCACTTTTAACAATTTCATATCTTAAAACCCCCACTTCTGAGCTCCCTTCACACCTCCGACTTCCTTCCTGCTTCTCTGTTCCTCTTCACAGCCAAATTTCTCCAGGTTGTCTCTTACTCTTTCCAATTCTTTTTCTCTTTCCCTTAAACCCACTCTAATTGTGATCCACTCCCCCACACTGCTCTGAAACTGTTCTGTTTCACTTCCATGCTGCTAACTTCAATGGTCAATCCTTAGCTCTTATCTGACTGATCAGCAGCATATGACACATTCAACATTTCACCCCAATTCCGTACAGCACATTATTCTCCTGCTCACTGGTTGCTCCCTTTCAATTTCCTTTCCTTTTTCTTCCTCATTTCCAAGACCTCTTAACATTGACATGCCTCAAAGGACAGTCCTTGGATTTCTCTTCTGTCTGCATGCATTCAAATCTCATGGTTTTAAATACTATTCATGTGTTGCCCAGTTGCCAAATGTAGACCTCTAGCTGGGCCTCTCCAGAAACTTCAGACTCAAACCGTTAACTCCCTACCCAACATGTCCACCTGGATGTCTAAAAGATATTTCAATCAACACAATTAAAAATGAATTTTTGCACTTCCTGGAAGATGTTCCACTCAAAGTCCTGTCCTGTCTCAGCTGATGGCCATCTCATCTTCCAGTTGCTCAAGCTAAAAAACCTCAGTGTCATCCCCAACTCCTCTTTCACATTCTTTATCTAATATCAGGAAATTCTTCACAATAGACACAGAGCCTGTACGTCACAGCATGTCCACCATTACAACCCTGTTCTAACCCACTAACACCTCCTCCCCGAATCACTGCCATGAAAATGTGAGTCAGACCACGCCACTCTGCCGCTTAAAATGCTGCAGTGACTTCCTGTCTCAGAAACAAAGTTCTGTAATGGCCCACGAGGCCCCAGGATCTGACCCTGTGCTCCCTCTGACCCCGGCCTGAACCACGCTCCCCCCAACCACACTACTCTGGGGAGCGGCCTCCTGACTGTGCCCCCAGAGTCTCTTCCCTGCTGTCCCCTTTGCCTAGAACACTTCCCCTCCTTTACACAGACTCACGGCTCTGCCCTCACCTCCTTCAAATCTTTGCTCACAATTATCTTCTCAGCAAGGCCTTCCCCAATCATTAAACTA